AAAGGGACCATTCGGGTGCGTATGCACGATGGTATTGTGAGGACATTAAATGAAGTCCGTCATGTTCCTGATCTGAAGAAGAACCTGATTTCTTTGGGTACACTTGACTCCAGTGGTTGCAGATGTTCAGCTGAAGGTGGAGTTCTTAAGGTAACCAAAGGTGCTTTGGTAGTTATGAAAGCTAACAAGGTTGGCAGATTATATGTATTGCAAGGAAGTACTGTGATAGAATCTTCTGCTTTGGCCTCGTCATCCATGTCTGAGGAAGATCTTACAAAGATGTGGCATATGAGGCTCGGACATATRATCGAGAAAGGGATGACTTCTTTGAGCAAGCGGGGCTTGCTTTGTGGGCATGTCACAGGTACTCTTGAGTTTTATGAACATTGTGTGTTTGGTAAACACAAAAATGTTAGCTTTGCCAAAGGGATACATAGGACCAAAGGTACATTTGATTACATCCATTCAGATTTATGGGGCCCTTCTCGTGTTTCTTCGAAGGGTGGAGCAAATTATCTTTTGATATTCATCGATGATTTTTCCAGAAAGGTATGRGTGTATTTTCTCAAAAATAAAAATGATGTGTTTGGAGTCTTCTTGCAGTGGAAGACTATGGTCGAGAAGCAAACAGGGAGGTAGATTAAAAGGTTGAGGACTGATAATGGGCTCGAGTTTTGTGAGTCTGACTTTACAAATTATTGTTTGAAGGAAGGTATTGTCAGACACTGAACCTGTGTTGGTCGACCACAATAGAACGGTGTGGCAGAGCGGATGAACCGCACACTCTTGGAGAGGGCTCGTTGCATGTTGTCCAATGCAAGTTTGGATTCCTTTTGGGCCGAGGTAGTTTCCACGGTAGCCTATTTGGTGAACCGATCTCCGCATTCAGCTCTCGAGGCTAAGACTCCGTTTGAGATTTGGTCAGGTACTCCTGCTGATTATTCATCTTTGAGGATTTTTGGTTGTCCTGTTTATACTCATGTTAACGATGGAAAGTTAGAACCTAGAGCCAAGAAATGTATCATTGTGGGCTATGGCTCTGGTGTAAAGGGTTACAAGTTGTATTGCCCTTCGAGCAGGAAAATTATTATTAGTCGTGATGTTATATTTGATGAATCGCATATTTATCTCCAAGGAAGGAGGATTCTGTTGCTGGTGATTCAGGTACATCACAAGATGCCTAGATGCAGGTGGAGGTGGAGCCCAGTCCATCTTCACAGCCTTCTCAGTCTATTTCAGATGAGCCGGTCACATCGGGTGATGTTCAGCCCAGTCAGGAGTCGCGCACTATTGCCAAAGATAGATCGAGGCGACAGATAAGACCACCAAGGAGATTTGATGATTGTGTGTCTTTTGCATTGATCGTCGCTTGTGAGGTAGATGGCACTACCGATCCGACCACTTACGATGAAGCCATATCCAGTCCAAATAGTGGTAAGTTAGTTGCCATGGAAGAGGAGATTGCATCTCTCGAAAAGAATGGCACATGGGGGCTTGTAACGCCACCACCAAAGAAGAAAATTGTTGGGTGCAAGTGAGTCTACAAGACTGAGGGGATTCCTGGTGTTGAGGATGCTCGACACAAAGCAAGGTTAGTGGCATAGGGTTTCAGTCAGGTTGCAGGTATTGACTATACCGAAGTCTTCTCCCCTGTTGTTAAGCATTCTTCTATTCGTACCTTGCTTGCTTTGGTAGCTATGCATGATATAGAATTAGAGCAGTTAGATGTTAAAACTGCATTCTTGCATGTTGATTTGAAAGAGAAGATTTATATGAAACAGTCAGACAGTTTTGTTGTGGAAGGAAAGGAAGACCACGTTTGCTTGTTAAAGAAGTCTTTGTATGGCCTTAAGCAGTCTCCAAGGCAGTGGTATAAGCGCTTTGACGCTTTCTTGACTTCTAGTGGTTATTCCAAGAGTGCTTTTGACAGCTGTGTTTATTTCAGGAAGCTCTCTGATGATTCATTCATTTATCTGTTATTATATGTTGACGACATGCTGATTGCTTCTAAGAATAAGTCTGAAATTGTGAAGTTGAAGTCTTTCTTGAACAGTGAGTTCGAGATGAAGAATCTGGGTCCAACGAAGAAAATTCTGGGTATGGAGATTATTCGTAATCGTGAGAACAGGAAATTGTTTCTCAGTCAGCATAACTATATTGAGAAAGTTCTTGATCATTTTGGCATGTTAGATGCCAAACCTGTCTCCACTCCTCTAGAGTAAGGCACAGGAGTCATATGGCGGTGGCTGATGCCGCTAAGGAAGCTTTATGGTTGCAAAATCTGGTTGGTGAACTCACAGGTAGTCGGGAGGCTACAATGATCTATTGACAGTCAGAGTGCCATACATCTGACTCATGACCAGATGTTTCATGAGAGGACCAAGCACATTGATGTGTGTTATCACTTTGTTCGTGATGTTGTTGAGGATGGTCGAGCTTTAGTCAACAAAATAGCTTCCGCTGAGAATCCCGCAGATATGTTGACAAAGCCATTACCATCATCCAAGTTCGATGCTTGCATCGACTTGGTTGGTCTCGTCTCATTTGATGCTTGATGCCCTTGGGGCATTTGGAGAGGGAGGTTCCGAAGATTTGCTAATTGAAAGAACTTGTTGAATTCTCGCCAAGGTGGAGATTGTTGACGATTGGTGTGGCTCAGTAATTCAACAATCCACTAATTACTCCACTAATTGCTCCACCCCTTTCATCTTGCTGAAATTTAGGGACCACGTTCCCATTTTCTTCTTTATAAAAGGAGCTTCCAAGGAGACATCAAGGTGGGCAGTGAGCATTAGAGAGCTCTTATACAGAGAGAGTAAAATTGAGAGAGCCACAATTTTTGAGTGATAAACACATTTGTCGGAGTCCATCCAGATGTTTCCTCTTGTCGATCACTGAGCAGTGAACACTTTGTGGTCATTCAATTTTGTTGCAGATATTGTTATCTACTGGTTTCTCTGCCTTTGCAGCCTATGCCATGGAGTGCGTCAAGGCCTCGTTAAAAGCATCTCGACACTATTAAGGTGGCCAGTTTGTAGTACCCTCATCAAGGACATCAATAAAACAAGTTTTCCTCCCTCTCCTGTGGATGTAGGTCACTTTGACCGAACCACGTAAATCTGGTGTCATCTTTACCTTTCACTTTTGCTTTAATTATTTGCTTTATAATTCACATATTTCTCAATTGTTTTCTAGATCGCCATACTAATTAATCAGTAATTCAGAGTATTACTCCTAACAAAATGGTATTCAGACTCACCATCGGCTTTGTAGAGAGTTGTTGGGTCTTTTTCTTTGAAGTAGATCACATATATTAACTCTTTCCAGAAAGGCTTCCCAACACAAATTCCCAACCTTAGGGGGTATAGGAAGACACCACACCTCTTTAACAAGGAAGGACAGTCCCAAAGAAGAAGGTTGGACTAAAGCTTTAAAGAAGGAAGCACGTGTGAAGGAACTGGAAGGGGTGAGAGACCAAATTCTGCTATCTGTCTTTATAGGMTCTAAAAAAACCCCTTCAAGAATAGATAGCAAGGATAGGACATTATCAAATTCTGTGTCCCTAATTTCCCTTCTAAAGCCCAAATTCCAACTGAACCCAGAGGTTGAGTTGGAAGGAACAAGGAAGGAGGAGAATGGCTGGTTTTTAAGAGTGGAAAGGGTGAAAAGATTCGGAAATTGATCTTTTAAAGGAGAATCCCCAATCCAGTATGTTCCCAAAAATTAATGAGATTACCTGAATGCAGGGCATACCTAATCCATGAAGAGAACAAAGGCAAAATAGCTTGAATAGCTTTCCAAGGTGCTGCTCTTGTAGTCCTTGCCACAATCCCAGAGTCCCATCCATTGCTTGCTACCCCATGAATGCTGCTCACTTCCTTGCGTCAACTACCTTCAATTTGATCCTTCCTCAATCTAGTTGTGTATCGAGAATTTTCTCTTCACTATGGCGAACCAATTTAAATACAGAGGAATATGGGAATTTATAATCAAGTAGAAAGAAATAAGATAGGGAATCAATGATGAAATATAAAAAACTATTGTCTGAATTGAACGTTAGGAACACTGAATAGAGATTTCAGTAGTTTGGAATTTGATGAAAGCCAGAAGCTTGAGGGTGGGCCTTGGTGTAATGGTGACAGATAGTTACAATGAAATGTTCATAAATCTTCTATAACTAGTCAGATAGTAACATTGAAAAATTTGTAAGTATAATCTTCATTAAGAATAGCATACTCTTTTTATGGGCCAGATCAGATTTGGTTGTTACCCTATAGGGCTGGGTGAATTACTCTTTTCATTTAGTCAGGTTGGGTTTGGGGTACTTGGATGTGACCTGTTTGAGTATTGACGGCTAGCCAGGACCAACATTATGTAATGACCCTTTTAAAAGGCCAAGCAAGTGCAATGGTAAAATATTGGGCAGTAAGCATGAGAAAAGTGGGTTCCAGTCTTAGCAGATACTTAATGCAAGATAAAAGGTTAGGTAACTAGGCTACCCTGGATAAYCTGGACCAACATTGGATAATGACCCTTTTATCTTCCAAATGCAAGTTTTTCTTTTCATCAGTCACCAAGTATTCTTCCTTAATATAATGAACTCTTATCAGAATGATATCTTTTTTTTGGGGTTTTGTGATGTGGCAAAAATGAGTAGTCATTTGTATCCTTGTAGAGCCGATCTACAATCCAGATTGAACCTGATTTGACATGACTGCAAGCTTATTTCTGCAAGTCTTTTTTAGGTACTTGATGGGACCAGACATGGAGTTTGTAAAATTTTTCGGGAAGAACCATGACGTGGATACACTTACAGGAGGAGTAATTAAAGAGATAAAGCAGTATAAAAAAGTTTGATTCCTTGATCTTATTATACTTTTGTCTCATGAATTTTGTGGCATCTGTGTCTCAAAGGCGATTTTAGTTTGGTCTTCTTGTGTTCGAGTATCTGTCTAGTTTTATTAGAGAAATGCTGCTTTATATGGTGAGACTGCCAAAACTGGAATAATTATTCAGGTTGACCTTGGACATAGACTTTAAGAGAATATTCCTGCTATCTCATCCCATCAATTTAAATTACAACTGAACCTATAAATGTTGCCCTCTGTCAAGTGTTAACCCCTTGTTTAGCTAGATGATCAGCCAAATTATTTGTCSATCTTCGAGCCCATTGAATTATTGTTTGCATGCCCTTTGAAAACCATCTGAATCTTTTGATATCACTACCAAGAGTCAATGGAGCACTTTCAACCTACAGCAACTCGCATATGACAACTTTGGAATCTCCTTCAATTACGAGTTTCCTCACCCCCATATCCATTGATGCTAAAAATCCTTAAGCATCTTTGAGCAAAAGGAGTAAATGATCTGCCATAGATGTAAAACCTGCAAATACTGTTAATAAAATTAGAAGCAAATCAAAATTTTCTGGATGAAATTTAAAAGTGGATTCATCATCATCATCACACCATCCAAGCATATGGGGTTGGCTACATGAATCCTGTTTAGGGACTGAATTTTTTATCAACCCTATCTAATCTACTGGCTTGTGGTTCCCTCCAGTGTGGCTCTGAGTACTATTTGATTAGTTTGATACCTTGGAACCCACAATTCTCCTGTTATTTTGCTTTGTACAGAGAAAATAGCAATTTTGTCGGACCAGGACCAGGCAAAAAACTGGATTGCTTTCTGGGTCATGGTTTTACCAGATATTTCATTCCGACTGAAAACCATAGGAATGCAAATGGATTGGATGGGATTTGAATCAAGGCATATTCGAATCTGATCCGTTCGATATGATCTGAAGATCCAATTAGATCTGATAGGACTCAATTTGAATTCGAATCCTATCGGTAAGTTGGACCTTCAAATCTGATCTGATTTGATTTGTTTTCTTTAAAAAATAACAAATTATTAAAAGAAAATTAAAATATACTAATTTATATAAAGTAAAAACAAAAAATATAAGTATTTTTTAATTATTTTCATCATAAATATATATGTTTTTATAAAAAAATAATATAACATTTATAAAAAATATATTTATAAATAAAAAAGAACATATATATGTTTTATATATTTATATTTATAAGCATATAATGTATATCGGATCGGTCTGAATCCGATCCGGTTTCTGATTGAGTCCTATTATCCAATTCAAATATCTGAACAGGGATGATCCGAATTCGACCAAATAGGATCGGATCACCCCTAAATAATCTGGGACCCCTTTAAGCGACTGAGGTGCCAGGTCACTGGTTCAACCATCCACTCCAGTCCGAGTCTTAACTCTGGAAAATAGAGCAATCCCAGAGTGATGAAAATGAAAGAGCATCTTGACTCTTGAGAACCCTTTATAACGAAAAGCACAAAGTGCAACAGGGGAAGTGCTTTAGCTAAAGTATGTCTTCTTTTGATTTTGATTATCAATTGATCAGCTCTAACGCTGGTTCCCCCGTACCCCATGCATAAACCATCGGCGGTGGCTCTAAACCAGATCTGAAAATCAAGAATTTCTAGTCACCATCCACAACCACAGCCTGTCAATCGACYCCACATGCAGGTCAATAGACCATTCTATCTTAAGATTACATCCTAAAATTGTAAAGTAAATTTGTTACGATTCATTAGTCCCACATCGGTAGTATGGGATGCCGTTGTGGGGTGTATGTGTCTGGGTTCCCTTTAACAGCTAGCTTTTAGGGGTGAGTTTTCCTAAGGCACATAACAGATGGTATCAGAGCTTACACTATGCCTCCCAGTTGCAATCGTGCGGCGCAGGTGATGATGTTGGTATTGCGTTGTTTGGTTGGGATTAGGGGGACTAGTGCAAAGCCAGCCTGTGTGAGTGCCAGGACTGTAGAGCGTGGTGAAATGTTACGATTCATTAGTCCCTCATCGGTAATATGGGATGCCGTTGTAGGGTGTATATGTTTCTGGGTTCCCTCCCTCTAACAGCAGGCTTTTAGGAGTGAGCTCCTAAGGCACATAACGAAATTCTGCATTTTGAGTTCTCATCAATACCTGGCCAAATCAGAAGGTAAACGCAGAGGGTTTGGGCCTTTTGGTATAGACATAATCTCCTCAGAAATTATTAGAAGCTCCCTTCGCCCATTGTATTTTAGTGAAAGAAACACAACTTTTTGAAAAACAAGTGTCGATGAAGCACAAATATAAAATGGTACACAATTAGAATTAGTAGAGGAAACATTGGAGAGGGCTCGTCCAAAAACAATCAAGAGGGCATGACAGGCAGAATAACAATAAACAGAATATGTACTGACATCTAGTAATTGTAACATGGGTATGGGGTGAACTAATTAGCTTTCTATTTCATCATCATCCTTGCTGGGCACTAGAGTAATACCACTTCTTTTAAGAAGATTAAGCAGCTTCTTAGCTTATTGCAAATAATGGAATGAATAGGTGATTAATGAAGCCTAACATGAGCCACAGGCAATGTCTTCTGCTAAAACCTGTTATTATTATTATCAACAATTGTAACTGGTATAACCTGTATAATGTTGCTCGGAATCTCAACTGAAAAGTAAAGCAACATCAAGGCCGCAGTGTATTTTCTTTTGGTCCAAATTCTAGCCCAGTTGATTTCATCGCGTATTTAAGCTTCTTTTTCAAACTTAACCCCATTCAACATCTGACTGTTCTGTCTAATTTATAGCTTGTGCAATCATCTAGAAGTGTCCCCCTGATGCTTTCTGAACTGGTGGATGTTCAGGCATTCCACCCCCTGAACCTGAATCTTATAGCATTAGAGGTAACCTCGTTTCTAATGCACCAATAAATTCATCTACGTTGTAACCTCGTTACTATATTAATAAAAGACTAGAAAATAAATAAATAAACAATAATTGGCTTCAGGAATTTTATATTATCCCATTAAGTTGGTTCCTTTGCTTAAAAGCTAAATGGCCTATATAAGAAGAACCCGACATACACTATTTTCTACACAATGCAAGATGGTTATATTTTCCAAAATTGTGAAAAACATATAAGAAAAATTAAATCATTTTGCTAAAGAATAAAAACCTATTCAGGTACCTCACTTAGCAGCTTGAGCTTTTAGGTTGAATGGTTCCTGAGCCTGTTTGACTAAGTTGTCTAGTGTTCAACTTTGATGGGCCTGTATTTATCCATGTTTCAAGTCCAATGGTCTTTCACATGAGAATAAAAACCTATTTAGAGGCCTCACTTAACCGCTTAAGCTCTTAGGTTGAACGGTTAGTCGAGGCATTTCTACTTGCATTTAGGATGTGCATGCCAATGTAGTGATATGAATATTTCTTTTTCTGTCCCAAATCTGGCAGTTATTATTATTTAATTATTAATATATCACTATTTTATTATTATATTATTATATTTATTGGCATTGGTGATGCAATTTTAGCCCCCAATGAAATCCAAGTGCTATATGCTAGATCCAATCAATGGGTTAATGACAGGGTGCATACTAGGCCCATTGGTACAATGCATGCAGAATCTGCCTTTCTCCTCCTCAATAGAAAGGATGCCTTACGACCAATTTGACAAATACAAGTAACATGATTCAAATATTTAGAAGAGAAGTATTCAAGCATTATTCCAAGTTTTAAGCTCCAAACCAGCATATCTTCCAACTTTCCCGTTGTCATGGCTGTGTTATCTAAGGTTTCAAAAAACCAACCTAGAAAAGGAACTACTTTTTCCTCTGGTTATCGGGTCAGTAGTTCAATCATCTGGGTCGGACGGATTCAATTTTATATGGTATATTGAATCTCAGCAGTTATTGCAAATTAGGTTAGATAAGGAAAATATGTACGCCATTAGAGAGGAAAGAATGAGAAAGGCAGTTAAAGAGTGACGGACCAGTGGTTGCCTCCTCCCTCTGCTCTCTCTTTCTCTGAATCGGACATCGTATCTCTCTCTCTCTCCAGTCCCCACCAACCAATTAACTATTTTCGTTATTGAACTGTGAAGTGTTTACCCGAGTCGAGTGGTTCAATAGTTAAGACTATTATCCAAGTCAACCGATTAAATCCGTATCACCCTTGATGAGATTGAATTCAAATTGGGACAATATACCATTTGCAGCCCTATTTGGTTGGATGTGGTAACCCTAAATCGGTTATAAACCTACAGCCCTACTTACGTTGTCAACAGAATCTGATGAAGAGGCATTTCACGAAGAAAATGACAAGGGAACCATGTGAAAAAACTTGTGCCTCTTAAAAATACAGCATTAAAATACAATTAAAAAGAGAGTCCTGCTGATAAATTATGACCTTCTTATACATGTTTGTCCACAGATTTTCTATCCAAATTATAATCCGTAAAAAAATAAAAAACTGTGCTCATTTTCCAGTCAGAAACTTCCGCAAAGTTTTCTTTCTTTGTTGACTTGCGGTTGCCACTTTCTCAGATTTCCACTTCCGAAACCTTTCTCGATCCTTCAACCACTTGGAATAATCCTTACCTTGTTTGCACTCGACGAAATCAACCAAATCATCCAAATCAGATTTTGGATGGCCTCCTTGTATGAGTTTGATAAAATTTTCACCATTACAGGTATCCTCTTCCTCTATGCCAAGAACACACTGAGACTCTACATCCCCAAGGACCAGTGTATTTTCTAAAGTTTCTGATTGGACAACTTCTTCTCCTGCAATGTATCTTGTGAGAGCCTTTGATCTGCAAAGGGAAAAAACATTGCTGAGGGATGAAGGCTAAAGACGGGATTTTGGCAGCTCGTCATATAGTGAAACTTCCCTATTAAATAGGAGTCCAGCCACCACTGTAAGATACAAGGATAATGACAGAAAAAAAAAAAAGAAGAAGAAGAATCCTTATTTTAACCCATTCTCCCCAGCATCATCCGCCATTTCAACTTAATAATCACTGTAACATGGATGAGTAGCGACTGACAGATCATTACAACATCCCACTCAAGTTACAGTGCAAAATATCAACTTAATTGGATAATCTTAGCCAAGCATTCAAAATTATCAAAGTACTACAGGAATTCGTAATTATTAATGAAACCCAATACCTACCTTGGGTTGACATCTCAGAACCCTAACCCAACTCTGTGCTAGAAAAGCCTACCCAAAACCTGATCCCATATGGTCAGGTCAAGTCGGATTTACCCGTTTAACCTGACCCTTTTGACACCCCTACTTTTAGCCATTAAAAATTTGATCAAAAGCCAAAATTCAGCCTGTATTTCCGGGTGACGTATTAGAAAATAGAAATCCTCTTAGTTACATATTTCATCAGTAGATAGTTCTTTCTCTTCAATTTACAGAATGAAGTCAATGTTATCTCCCATAACTTAACGGATATTGCATACCTCAAGTACGTCATCTTAATTTTTTGGAATTGCCTTGCAACTATGGCGCTAGAACTTATTTCAATTAGAACCTGCATTATAAGTCAGGAGTTTTAGAAGTAACTAATGGATAACACGGAACAAACTGACAAATAAGGAAAAACATAACTCAACCAGCACGTTGGATAAAGAACAAAAAGAATCACCTCTGGGGATTTATCAACAAAAGGCTGAGCAGATTCCTTTTCAAAGCCAAGAAGTGACCTCAACCCATCCACATTACCCTCTTCAAAAGTAATTAGATTCATAATTGTCATCATCATGAATATGCAACTCTTCCACAGGAATTCCAGCCCACTATTAAAACTAAACAACAACAATCCTGCCATGTGTATGAGCATCACTATCGACTCCTTATGTCTGCCTGGGTATACTCCCCTTGCATCAGAAAAGATGAGTTGGATTGGCTGACTGACACTGTACTGTTGAAAGCAACCAATTATACCCATTATAAAATCATATTCTCTACATGAAGGATAATCTTCCAATGTTTTTTGACAACCTGAACTTCCATTTTGTTTCAGCCACCAAACAATTTGCAGCAATGAGCTGCTCATTAACTTTAGTATAGATGCAAGAAGATACATTTTTTCTGAAATTCCATTTACATCTTTATTCAATACATTAAAAGCAATTTCATTTGAGAGGATCCTTGATATGATATACTTTAGAATTGAGAAAATCTCATCTCTGCATGTCTTGTCAAGAATGTACAGGTTCTCTGTCATGTATGCAATAGAGACACTCATTATACCAGATGTCATTTTGGAGTAAGATTCATGAACACCAGAATGCCAAGAGCAAGTTGACTTGGGGATTTCATGATTAATTCTATTATATGTGACTGGTCGAACATTAGATTGAAAAGATGGTTGACACCCTCCTCCCAGTATACATGGTTTATCAACCAATTTAATGTTACCTCCAAAATGATTGCTGCCAAATTCCAAACTAGAAATATGTAAATTGTACAAGATGACTGAATGTTCAAATGCTGATATGTAGCAATTCTTAGCTCTGGGATTTAATCGTGTGTCCTCTGGATCCCTGACAATGCCAACAGCTCTGGAAATCAAGGAAATGAGATGTACTTGGAATATTGGTGGTGCAGAAAACACTGTGGGAGTTCCAAGCAATACTATAGCTGCTGTCAAGCTCAGTTCTGGAAATCTGAGTTCCTTGTCATGAAACCAAAATAATGTGCTCAAGAACTTGTTAAATTGTTGCTTGTCAGAGACTGAAAGGAGAAAATGAGCAGATACCACCTCCAACACATCATTGCTATCACCATGACTACTATCACATATAAACAAATTTTCACCCATGCAAGAAACAGAATCTATTACTATAAAATATTGTCTCAAACGTCTATGCACCAAAAGCTCATCTGCAAAGACCTGGAGATGTTGCCAACAAGGTTTTCATGGAAAAGAAGGTACATAAAAGTTCCTTTAGTATACAATTAATAAAGGCACTTGAGCTTTAAAAGAATTACACTGATTATTGCATGTCATTGTAAAGCTTTCTCAGGATCCAGTTTAACTTAAAACTCCTAATTTTTTTAAGCCTTATATAATTTCCTATCTTTTAAATAATTGAGAACATTATTTATGAACAAAAATTGCATTATTAATTTAACATTGAAAAGGACCAACATTCAGAAGGCCATTATCCAATGATGGCCCAAGCTATCTAAAAAGTCTTGGGATGGGTGGACTGGATAAAAACCAAATGACTGAACCACCAGACTTTTATAGCACAAAGTGGCCGCTCTCATACTTGAACCTGTGTTCTCACACTTGTCAGCCCAAGATTTTACCATTGCACCAAATAATGGCCTTTGAAAACGATCAACACTCAAACCATAAATATCCATCAGGTAGAAAGTTAAAAGTCTCAAATGTTGGAATGGAGCAAAAGGAGAAAAAAAAAAGAATACATGTACAAAGGCAAAACCATTTTTTGGACATTAAGGATAATACAACAAAACAGGGAAGACCTAACATCCAATACATCTAATACAATAAGGTGAGAAAAGTGGTGCATGGTCTATTAAATTAGTAAGATCCCCTAGGTTGATCCTACACATACATTTATCTGACATACATAAGGATTATTCTAAGAATGTCACTGAGTCTTCTATAAACGGATTTGATGTCCTTAATCAAGAAATATGATGCCTAGTTTGTATATTAAATTCTATATTCAATTAGCATTTAACAATGCATGCTTGATAGTAATAGTTAAATAAATGAAAAAGATGGAATCAACAATATTACCTCAAGCATCAAGCAAAGAATAGGAATGAGTGAACAAGGCTGCTTAGCTAAAGACATGGAAGCGTTGAATTCCTCAACCACAGACACAGAGGTGATACTATTATTACTAGCATAAATGCACTCTTGTGAAACTGATCTCTTTAAGCTAATAGTGCTTTTCTCATTTTCTTTCATATGACCAGAAATACATAATAACAGATCTGGAGAGCACACTTTCCGAAGTACCTCAAGGAGAACTTGGCATTTTTCTAAAAGAAAACTTTGGTCAAACTCTAGCAAGAGCAGGGTAATTAGACAGCATCTTAACAGCATAGTTAGATCTTCTGGATGGGTCAAAATATCTGAACAAAGTCTAGCTCGGTCGGTTGCCATATTTACAGATGAATTGAGCCAAGCAGATAACTTTTCAAACTTCCTCTGGAGTTCTTTGAAGAGAAAATTGGAGAGCTTACAGATATCAGCAAATGTTGCTTTCAAATCAAACTGATGGCTCTCCCTTTTCAAATCTTTTAACGCTTCAATGTTAGAGCAATGCAATGATGAATTTGAAAACAAGTAGACAAGAAGACAATATAAACTTCTGAGAAGTGGTGCCTTTAAAACCTGAAAAGTTGAGACAATATAAACTTCTAAATGTTATTGATAAAAAGGCAGAAGAAAGGACCATATTTTCACCCCCAAAACCTTGAATATAGAACCTTTTTGCTAGAATCAAAATGACTAATCCAACAAAAATTCATAATGAATTAATAATTTCTTCCATTTGCAAGAACCATAATTTGGGATTTGATGCATTTCAAATGCCCCTGGCATGCACTTTATGATTTTCCCCATTTGCAAGAAATTGATATTTTGAAATGTTAGAGTTGGCTGAGTAGGGATAGTTTTGTCTTTTCATTATATGTTATGGTGTGTTTTGACAATTTAGTTTCTTTTTAAGTCACATGTCCCACACTTAAGTAGGGGCATATTGGACATTGTACCCTGATTTAGTAAACATATAAATATTTGGTCGACTGGGAGAGATTGGACTCCTTAGTTCGACAGTTTCTCCTCCTCTTCTTCTCCTTCTTCTCTTCTTCCTCTCTTTCTCTTTTTTGGTTAGAAATTTGTCTTTGCTCCACAATTTTATGTTGAAGCACTTTATTTCCTGTCCAGATAGACTCTCTGGTGTGTGCCTAATTTGGCAAAACATGTATTGGCAATGTTAATATTGCATGCTAGGCAGAGCATCAATGTTACTTCTAGGGAAGACAAGCTAGCATGATAAAAGTATTGTAGATCTGATTTAGTTTGGGCCATTAATAAAATAAGTTTAATCGGAGGGAGGTCTCTTTAGTAGGACCCCCCCAAGTGGGAACATCTCATCTCTTTCAATTAATTTGCTTTCAATAAAATTTAAGTATCATCTGGTTTTGTGAGTTGKTAATGGTTTGTGGTGTGGTGATAACTTTATTGGTGAACGTGTGAATCTCCCTCGGTATATTGGTGAAACTGTTATTTTAGAGGTCCCTTCAACATCTCAAGGTTTATGGTTGTTGTTGCTTCAATAGTAAACCATTTCCATGAAGGTTGCTTCAACATCCTTACTTGCAAACTCAAACTGGTTTTCCCACCTTGAGTTTTAGGGGGGCGTGTTGAGAGAATATTTTATTTGGTTGTATTTGGGTATATTTGTAACGTTGATAAATTATGGGAACCTATATGTATTTATAGGAGAAAAAGAGGCTTCTATGTAATTCTGATATATTTCGGTCTATTGCTTATTTAAGCTAGTGGTTATGTGAAATTAGGGTTTGAGGGAGAGAGAGTGTGAAAGTGAAGTCATGTATCTCTTGTTCTTATAGTGGATATTTTTCCTCTCTCGTGGATGTAGGCTACCAAACTGAATCACATTAAATCTTGATGTTTTCTCTATTTCTTCTTCTTGTTTTCTCCTTGATGTGTTATTCTATTTTATGTTAGTTGACATGGTATCAGAGCCATTTCATGTTGTTTAACATGGTACCAGAGCCATTTTATGTTGTTCAACAGAGTGAAAATGAAAAGGAGGGAAAACAGAAAAGAGGGTGGACTTTATGAGAATCCTGAAAATGAAGAGGGTGAGTTGCTACTAAAACTGAGCATGCAATATGCTTCTTTAAGAAAAAAAATATAGATTCCTCTTTTATTCCTTGCATTTCATTGCTTTATGTATTCCTTCGTTAGTACTCTATTTCAGATTAAGTAAAATTCCTTTGATCTTATTACAGATCAAAAGAAGAAAAATGTACTAGAATCTCTAAAGAAGAGTTTACAGTGGGCACAACACAGGTTGAAACAACAAGCCGAGTGACAAACTGACAACATAAAAAAGTGGCAGTTCTAACTTCTAAAAAGGAGATTGAATTTTTGTACACGTAGACCTACAGCCACATTGCCAAATTTCAGTGGCTATGAAGAAGCCAAGGAAATGTCTTCTCAAAGTTACAATCCTACAAGGTTGTCCAATGCATTGGACAAACAGAAAACAAAGCGAAATTACCCAAAGAAAGATTCATCTGATCTAGCATTTCATGTTTCATTTTTGAAAAAGAAGCTAGGACAAAACAATGTGGTACAAAGCAGTTTCCCTCTTATGATTATAAAGTAACTTGTGCAATGAAAACAATCGTTTATAAATGGCTGATACATATTTAGACATCATGTCTTACAGTCACGCATTTTAGTGCATTGGTCCAACCTTTTCAGATACCGATCAAATTAAAAAAAAAAAAAAAATTACTGTCCAGAGATGCCACGGAATGAATTGTACAAAAACCAGGAATGGTTTCTGAGTTCTAACCTTGAGGTCAAAGGTTATTATAGTGGGTCTTCAACATGCTGCCAATTTGGGGAAGCCTGAATTGGCAGCTTTAGCTTTGCAAAGTAGGTGTAGTACAAATCTTATTTTTGGTGAAGTCATTAAATTAGAATAAAATCTAGAAGATTTGATTTGGTTTGGGTCCTTTCTAAGGTAACATGGATAAAAGGAGCTTGGGAGGGTAGATAATACAACAGGTACAGTGAAGATTAGAATAGGGAAAGTTGCTCTTGTTGGTTGTATAGGATTTTCCCATTCAAGGTGGGAATATCCTATCTCTTAAAGTTTTTTGAGGCATCACTCTCCCTGTAACGCCAACAAAATTTTCTATGATTAGAGGTGAAAAGAATCATTTTTTAAACAGAGAAACCAAATTAGGCAAATTGTAATGTCTCTGACTATATGCGAAAAGAGTAAGAACCCACTAGGCCACTACTTGATTAAGAAATAGAATAGACGAGCCAAAACCTTCAGGCAAGATTAGAAAAAGAAAAGATGAACTAGAAAACAATTCGAGAGAGGGAGACAGAGTACCTCTGGATCTTCCATTACATATAAAAGCTGTTTCAAGCTCTGAGTATCCCAGGTTGAATTTGCGGGGTTGAAATCCTCCTCTTCGACTGGATTCATTGTTACACAGCGGTTTTGAGTTTTGACACTTCAATCAAATTTCAATTGCTCACCGTTTAACTTCGGCAGGGCTATCTTCCATTCTTCCTCCTGTATTTTGGCGGGGAAAATGAGGGAGGGAGACGGCACTTTTGAAAGGACCGGACCGGATGCAGTTGTACAGCCAATCAGATCCGGACACCAATTCGGGGTTGGGATCTGCTACCGAAAGTCCGAAACTGTCCCAACCCGCCACTGTGAGGTTGCATTGCTGGTTGGTACGTTGTTGCATTGCTGGTTGTCACACCAATTCCCGATCTGCTACCGACTGGATTCATTGTCACACCAATTCCCGATGTGAGGTTGCATTGCTGGTTGGTACGTTGTTGCCATCGGCTGATCCGAATTCACTAATTCAAAACCCGTCCCACCAATAAAACGCTCCCAACATTTAAATGCAGCTCACAATGCACATCAGCCCCCCACGACCACGAGGTAGCGCCCCACAACGTACCACAGCACATACCAGCCATGTATTGATAACTATCTCCCAACGATAATGATGTCTCATCATTTCTTGTATTATGAATGTGCTGTGGAGCTACTCCCCTCCTTCCATTGTCATTCATGATAATAAGGATGCAAAGACATTGCTGTATATTGGAAACATCTACTCATGAATGGTAACATGTAAATACTGAAAATGTTCCCTCTGTACAGCTGCAGTGTCATGTGGGTAGAATTCTTGTGGGCAGGAGATTCAACTTGAGTGCAAATGGATTGGATCRCGATCCTAAATTTGAAATCCGATCCTATTTTTTTAGATTAGGATATCTCTTTAGAATTTTTGGATCGTATCAGATAATAAGACCTGATTAAAATTCGGATGATCCCTATCTAATCTTGAAGGATCCGTTCAACCATTTATAAATATGTTTATATTGTATTTCTGTAAATCTTTTGCATTATTTTATTTTTATAAAAAACATGTATATATAATGAAAATAGTTGAAAAATATTTATATTTTCTTTCCCTTTTAATAATTTATTATTTTTTTAAATTAAATCAAATCGAGTCAAATTCAAATATCCAACATCCATAATGATTCAAATCTGAATCGGATTCAATGTATGTAAGATCTTAAGGGAATCTTTGGATCGGATCGAATCAATAACATCAGATTGGATTTAGATATATTCTGATTCGAAGAATCCAATTGCATCCCTACACTTCATGTTCCCAATATGCGGTTACAATGGTTGGCTAAGACGTTTGGGACCGTGTATTGATAGCTGATCCGAAGCCATCTCAACCCCCCAACTTGTCCAAGGGTAAGGGTAGTCAGGTAGAGATGTCAATGGATCGGATTGTCGGGATTATTAATTGAGATAATCGGTCTGACCTGATTTACACTTTACCTATGGCTATGGCTTAGGTCAAGAGATGTTAGTATGTTACCAACGTTAGTTAACATATTGGTGACCCTGAAAGCTGATACGAATAAGATACACGGCGTGATAAATATAGATATTTTGAACCTTTGGTTGGGATTATATACAAGCTTCATTAAATAACAAGGAAAGAATGGAAAAGATTAAAGAAAAATAATAATTAATTAATAAAATGCACCAAAAAATTAAAACAAAAAAGTAACAATATCTACAATTATCAAGCGCAGTGGAAAGATGACTATTTTCACAGAAATAGTCCCTGCTTGACCTGATGATGATGATGTTGATGGTCTCTCTATGTATAATCATCAGCACCTGCAGCCATCCTCCACAAAATAAAATGCAGAAGCCAAAGGAAGATTGCATTTGCAGGAAGAGAGTGTAACCATTCCGGGAGAGCTTCAACACTTCCCAGAATCCCAGCTACTCTTCATTGGTCCAAACTCCAAACTCCGAATCTCAGCTGGATAAGTTAGTATTTCTCTCTTCTAAGACCTCGTACGAAGACGACCACGCCTGAATCTCATCTGGATTGGGTGGGTCAAAGGGTTCAAACGACAGGATGTCAAATGGCTCGACTTGACCTCGACGGTTGGGCYTTGGTATCATCCGGGTTAAAAGATTTAAAAAAAAAAAAATACGATAAACAAGCAGAATAAAGAAAATGGACAATAAATAGAAGAAAAGAAAAATGTATTAGTTTATTTATCCGTGAAAAAAATGCCTCGTTGTAAAAATAATTCAACCAAAATTTGGCTCGCAAAATCCTTTAATGGAAGTCAAAAATGAAAAAGATGAATGACATTTGGACCCAAGAATAGATGACCCCTTCCCTTCCTAAAGTAATCAGAAAGAATGCTATCTGAATCAGAATAGGACATATCGTTAAGCAACCTCAATTTCCCTACTCACTACAGGCTTGACCAACTCCTCGTCATCTTTCGGGGGGTGAATTGTGACAAGATCAGGCAATGGAGTTGTCGGGCCTTGCTTCCCCTTGGGATCCCAATCCAACATTATCTTCACCTTTATGCCCAGGACTCCCTGCATTCACCATACGTATTACCCATGGCACCGCAGCAAATTAATAATAAACAAAAAAAAACAAATTTTTAAATTAGCATTTAGAAATCAATACAATGCATGAAATAACACCTTTCTAATGGTCAGAGACAACTAGAGAGTGAACAAAGACCACCTTGAAAGGCAGTGAGTAGAATTTTGAAGCAAGGAACTTGGCTTAGTTATTCCACTGACCTGTCTAAGCAAAACATGCCTTACGGCTGAGTCTATGTATTCATTAACTGGCTGACCAGAAGAGATCATGTAACCATCTTTGAACTTCATCGATTTGGCACGTTGTGCACGGAGCTTCCCACTCACTATAACCTGGCAAGGAAATAATTTCCATTTAAGACCAGTAGCATGGTTTGTAATTGTACTAATGGTTCATTTCTTCATGACACTTGAAAACTTACAAAGAGGATGGCAAAACAGGATTCATGTAACCAACCCCATATAGTTGGAATGATCAAATAACAATACCCATATGGTTGGGATACGGCTCAAGGTTTAGATGATGCCTGATGTTGATGAATAGCCACCATGAAACTTACCTCACATCCTTTTGCACCACTTTCCATGATGAACCGCAAAACACCATAGCAAGCCCTAAAATGAGAAAATGGGTACCAGCTCAGCTAAACTACAAAAATTATTGCAAGACTTGAAAAAACAAAACAAATAACTTCTCAAGAATTTGTTATGCCTTCCAACAATATGTTTCTCTCATATTCGATCAACAAGAAATTTTAAACATTGCATTTCAAGCATTGTATTTGTTACCTTATTTTTCATCTTTGAAACATCTTGCTCATAGGCCTCTTCCTTTTATGTTTCTTCCATACTTTTCTTCATTTCATCTGTCTACATAGGTCTATTTGCATTTCCATAGTCACCATTTACTAAAAGTAATTAACTCTTACTTGAATACATCCTCAAAACAATAAGTAATAATGCTTTTTGTCATCTTTTTTATTATTTATTGTTATGCTCTAAGTAACCCCTTTTGTAAGAAAATACTAAAATCAACCTGACCATGACAAATTAAAGATTTTAATTTATCTGCCAAGAAGCTCCCATTCAGACCAGACATTTATTAAGCTTTCTTTATTTTCTCATCTTTCCTTTCTGTATATGTCTAAAGTCTAAACCAGTGCTTTCAACCCACAATCAAACCAATCAACCCATCACTCAGCCAGAGTTCCGAGTCCATTACTCCATTTCACCGCTAAACTGCTTGCCTTCTAAAACCGATTGACTCATTCAATGACCAGGTGACCAAGGTGGTTGAACCACCAAAACATTTGACGCAGTCAGCATGTTAGATATTAATTCTTTTTCCTTTTTTTTGTATTTTCTCGGTCCCATCATAAATAAAAATATTACTATTTATCACAGTTATTTTTATTTAATATGATATTAGAAATGTCACCAATTTTTTCTACAAAATATTATGTATTTCTCAATAATTTTTAATGTTTTTATATTTTTATTATTTAATTATGATACAACAAGTTGACTCATTTGAACCATATGGTCACTACACTGACCTGCCACCTAGGCAAAAGAATATCTGCTTCAAGGTCAGCTTTAAAAAATTAGTGTAGACTGTTCACTGTTAGTCAAAAGGGGGAAGGGATGTGATGTAAGATGAAATCAGTAGCTGAATGGCAAAATAAGCCAATCACCTGTGGATTCATCTTTACGGTTGTCTGGCCGCTGCTGATTGAACAGCTTTTTCTTTATGCACCTAGCTCAAGACCTCCCTACAAGAATTAGAGAGGCCTATGATACAAGTGCAAATAGTCAGGAACTCAGGAGTATAGGTWCAAAAGAACCATAATTCCCAATCATCACATAGATAAAATGAATCCAATATTTGAAAGATCTTTCCTGACACAATTTTAGTATCATGAAAGGATAAAAGCCTTCCATCTTTTAGCAGAGTTTTTGGCCTTTAGAAAACCCAATATCAACAAAACTCACTGATTGTAAACATTCATTTCTTCTTCTTTCTCCATAAGTCTTCCTTGAACACATCAGAAATTCCATGGCTTTTAAAAATTTCCCTTGATAAACCCACAAGTACACAAATAGCATCATTTATGTTAAAAGCACAGCTGCAAGATGCAGCACTAACAGGATAGAAATTTGAAGTAACAGTATGGTACTCCACACTCCTAAACAATGTAAGCCTTATGTGCACCCTGTTACTGCTCTTCATTTAAGAGACTTTCCTTCTTACATTCATCTTTTTATAAGAAATAAATAAATTAAAAATGCACAACCCTGGACATGGATGTCAACATGTCTTGGTGGCTCAACCAAAATCCTACCCAAAGGCACCCCAAGTTCCCAACTCAACTAATTGAAAAGAACTACCGAACCCAACCCACAAGCAGCATCCCTTCTTTATTGAAAAGAACTACAAATTTGCAATGTCACTAAGTCACTTGTCACAGAAGTTTCATGAACATTCCATTATGCATATCTATCATCTGTTGAGTATACATAAAGGTTTATGATAAATATTGTTTAAGGTTTCATTTAAAGGGAAAAAATCCCAAGTCTTCTAATGAGATAAAGAGAGATTAATATGAGACAATGTCAACAAAACATCTAAACCAGCAAAATCACAATGCCCATAACAATATGGAAAAGAAAGAAAGTTGACTTTGTGATCCCAACAGGTCAGGTTAAGTGCAAGTCTACTTCAACCCGGCAACAAATCAAAGCTGTCCCAAACTTGATCAAATAAGATCAGGCCAATGCATGATTCCCATTTAGGGCATGCTTGGGAGTGCTTTTGACCTAAATGGGCTTCTGAAAAAGCCATTTTTTGAAACAGGATTTTTTAATTTTTTGCAGGTCACCTGTTTTTTTTCAAAATAGCCTCTTTCAAACATACAAAGCAAAATGGAGTTTTTTCCTGCCTTTTCCAATGCAATAAGCCCATTTTGAGATTTTTCACCAAATGTTTTCTTGACTAGATTTTGGCTTCTCCAACAAGAAAAGCACAAAAAGACCATTGGAAAAGTGCTCCTAAACATGGCCTCAACCCAATCTATTCACATCCCTAACCCTGAATACTAACCTAAATAATCAGCTCCAAAACCTTCCTAAAATTAGTTCCAGATCTCAAAGACTTGTTTTCTTCATATATTCATTGGTAAGACTTTATCATTATTTAGTGAACAGGACCAACAGGTAGTGAAATTGTGAGATGAAATCAGTAGACAAATGGCATTTGAGCCATTCACCTGTGGATCCATCTCTACAGGTTGTCTGGCCGCTGCTGAAACAGAACAGCTTTTACTTTGTGCACCCTAGCTCAAGGCCACACTACTGGAATTAGAAAGGTCTACAGTACAAGTGCAGAGTAGGGTAAATGCAAATGTAAATGAATGGAAACATAACCCCACACTCCCCTTTTTATTGCTCAATGATCAAGAGAATTTGTTAGAATAAACTCGTTAAGGTAGGGATCAGATAAAGAAATCACAAAACAAACACTGTTTGGTCAGAACCACACTCCCAAACGAACCTTATTTGGAAGATCCAACCCCCAGTACAGTTCTCTTCAGTGGACATTAGTTGTTTGATATTAGAGAATACTAAAATAAATAAAAAGTCTTTCAAAAAATTATTGTACATTCAGCATAAGGACTGATTCCTAGCATGTTGTAATAAATAAAAGGTCTTTCAAAAAATTATTGTACATTCAGTGGACATTAGTTGTTTTGTACAATTACATTCAGCGTCCAAGGACTGATTCCTAGCATGTTGTAGTAGCCATCACCTTCAATTATATTGCCTTACTAACAAGCTCTTGATTTGCTTTAAGCATCATGTATAATACCAAAGTTAGAGCATGATGGTGGCGTATAGTCATAAGTTAGCATGGATCGTGAATAATGCTGACAACATTTTTTATTTTAAGAAGAATCACAATACTCCAATCTTGAAAATAAGGTTCTTTCGTTTGACATGGCCATATAAAAATGAAAAAGATATCAACTCTAAGACTTCTGTCTGGAAAAAAGGTAGGCATTTTTGGGGGTTCAATTGGTCGCATTGGTCCAACATCCTAATTGAATTATTAGGCATCTTCATAGAAACATTCACTTGAATAGGAAACTTTTAGCACACTGACCCCATTAATAATGTAGCCCTACATTGTAAACCGATAAGCTACAAACAGACCTGATTGGATCCCATACTTCTGACACTTCTATTACTAAGTTATGTTCTGAACTGCATGAGCATCAAGCACACTTCGCTGTTTACATTACCCTTGCACCTTGGTAGACAGAAATTCTGCACCAAACGTTTATCTAAACAAGTAAAGCATGCTGCCAAGGCAATATAATCCACGAAAGGGTCGGTAATGCAGAATCAAATTAAGAAACAAAGACGGTGGTTATACAGAACAAATCAGATATCACGGTCAGTGCATCCTAGACTACGCATAACACTCCAACCAAACGACTAAACCACCCCTGATTAAAAATAAACACATACTGAATACCAGCAAGCATACATTTTGCATATAAAACACAACATTCAGAACAATCCACACACCAGAAAACAACACCGATAACCCACAAAAGAAAAACATGCATAGAACCAAAGACGAGAAAAGAAGTAGCATACCTTCGAACAGCAAGACCACCGAGTAGCTTGTACCGTAAGGACTCTGCTTGAGCGATGGCACAAAGGCCTCGATTGTTGACCTTTTCAGCATACAGTTCCACACTATTCTCAGGAAACTTGAATCTCTTTTGAACAACAGAAGTCAATTCCCTGATTCTTCTCCCCTTCTCACCTGTAAAATAAAGGAAACGAATTAAATCTATAGCACCAATTACAAAGTTTGCTTCTTTTGGCAGATCTTCGTTAAAAAAACATAAAAATGAATCAGAATTGAAGATATAAATAATAACAACTTTAGTAAGCAATAAAATATATACCAACTTACCAAGAACATTCTGGGTTCTGGTAGCTCGGATGATGATCTCAGTGCGCATCGGAGTGACACGAACCTCAACGCCTGAGTACCCATCCTCAGCAAGCTCTCTCGTAAGAACCTCGTTCAGTTCGGCGAAGAAAACTCCATCCGCAACGAACTGTATACGACAGAAAAATAGGACACCAAACAAGGGTGAAACAAGTTTGAACCAAAAGTCTTAAGGATCCAAGATCACTACTAGGTGAGGAAGAGTTCAGATTAAACTGTAATCAAATGTAGATCCAGCAGATTGGGCTATTCTTAAACAAGGATTAGAGCTTATTCTTCATAGTTCATACTCACCTTCCTCTTTTTGCTCATCTGAGTCGCCATGATTGGAGTTGACGGGGCCGGAGAAGCTATATTGCTCTGAGGATTGTGGCCGAAAACTGAAACACCAAAAAACCCTAGCCTGGTGAGATTTTGGAGAGGAAAATAATTATATAGGAGCGGATGGCAGCTCAGGCTGCAACCATGGACAAGCCGTAATATGCAATAGACGGGTTGGGCTCGGGTTTGGGGCTTTTTGGTTTCGGGTTGAGGATACGTTCAGTTTGGTAGAGCTCGAGCTCGGTTCGATTTCAATCGAGCGATTTGCCGAGCTCAAGCCTAATAAAGTTCGGTTCATAAGGTTTGCAAGTCGAGTTTGATATATATAATTATATATAATAAAATTATAGAAAATAATGTATATAATAAAAATATTATAATTCTTAATTTTTTAAATATCAAATAAAAATTATTTTTATATATAATTTTTTTTTCATAAAATATTTTTCCTTAAATTGAGCTTGAGCTTATGAGTTTTTTATTCGAGCCGAGTTCGAGCTCAATGTTCTAGCTTGAACCGAGGAGCCTTATACAACCTTGGCGAGCCGAGCTCAAGCCTCATACTATTCGGTTCAGCTTGGCTCGAATCTACCCCTAGAGAGAGAGAATCTATTAAAAACATATATCAAGGAAAAGGGAAATTGTCTAAAAGACTCACCATGAGTTTTCAACATTTCTCTTAGATTGTGTTTGGTTTGAAGGAAAAAGTAGAGAAAGGAAAGAAAGTGTAAGAATTCCCTACCTTTTCCTTCAAAGCAGACATAACCTTAAAGTCACCACAACTTTTCAAAATGTCTAAAACTCACCATGTCACTAACTTTATGTTAAATAGACTAATGGGTGTTAATATATTATCATTTTAACCTTCATAAAAAAATATATAAAATATAAAGGAAAAAGTCCAAAAAATATTTTCAAATATAAAACACATAAATTACAAAAAATATAAAAATTATAGAAATTGCGAACAAAATAAAAAGTTATTTTCATATTATATAAACTATTAAAATTGAAAAACAAAATTAGAAAATAAAAATTGTAGAAAGAACACAAAAAATTATAGAAAAATGCAAATAAATAACAAAAATACAATAAATTTTTTAGATCATAGAAATTAGAAAAAAAGTAAAAAACATTGGAAATTATAACAAAACACTAAAAATGCAAACAAACCAAGAAAATTGAAAACTAAAAAAGACAAAAAAAAACTCGAAAAATATAAAGATTGGATAATGATGCACCCTTTTCCTCTAACTCACCATTCAAAGGTAATTTAATCATAAAAATTATTATTTATGCTGACATGGACGCTGAAGCATTAACGGTGCACTAACGGAAGGTGTGTTTTGGAAAGTAAAAACTTACTAACATGGTGAGTTTTAGACATTTTGAAAAGTTGTGGTGAGTTCAACAAAAATATTGAAAACTCATGATGAGTTTTAGATATTTTTCCTAAAAAAAGAAAGAAAATAAACGAAAATAAAATAAAAAGAGAAAGAGAAAGAGAAAGAGAAAGAGAAAAAGAAAAAGTTGAGCCCTAAGGCTCCGTTTGGTTTGTGGGAAGATTTAGGTGGGATGGGAAAATGTAAAAATCTACTTCCATTGGTTGGTTTTATACACGAGAAAATAATAAGAAAACACTATTTTGAGGAGAAGAGAAGAGAAGGTGAGGGAGAAGAAAACACTATGTTTGCGACTGTATCTATGAACCCAGAAGAAGAAAGAGAAGAAGAGAGGAGAGAGGGAGGAAGGAAGTGTCTTCGATATGTGTCTACGAACCCAGATCTAAGTTCTACCATGGCAAAACTTAGATCTGTCTATGAACCCAGATATGTGTCTGCGACTGTGTCTGCGAACCTAGAAGAAGAAAGAGAAGAAGATAGGAGAGAGGGAGGAAGGGAGTGTCTCCGATTTGTGTTTGCGAACCCAGATATGAGTTCTACCATGGCAGAACTTATATTTGTGTCTGTGAACCCAGATTTGTATCTACGAACCCAGAAGAAGAAAGAGAATAAGAGAGGAGAGAGAGAAGAAGGGAGTGGCTGAGAGGGGGGTGCCGCCGCCGCTGCTTTGTTTCTAGGTTTGAACGGGGAAGGGTGCCATTGTCACTGGTTTCACCGAAATAGAGAATGAACAGTGGTTTCTTACATTTTTCCACTGGGGTCGCACGGTTTTGGTGCGATCCCAAATCCATGATTTTAGAATCTAATATCCCACACTTTTCTCATCCCATCCCCCTCTTTCCCTCAAACCAAATATGAGAAAAGGGAATATTTTTTTTTCTCATTCCCATCCCACAAACCAAACAAAGCCTAAAGGGATTTTCTGTTTCTCATTTTATGTCAACCAAACATAGTCTAGAGGTATTCCTGTTCCTCTCATTTTTCCGCCAAACCAAACACATCCTAAAGGTAAAATAAAAATCTATCTTATTTTATTTTTTTACTTATATTATCATTCCATTGCAATCAACCGCAACAAAGGGAGTTTAACATACCTACCTCCTATAAAAACATATCTATCCTACTTATAAAAGAGTGAATAAGTTCTACCCCCACCTGTATATGCATACAGAGGGAGGCTATATATGTAATTTAATCCTATTGTAATAGCAACCAAAAAAACAATGGTTCTATGACTTCTATCTCCACCAATTATCTCCTGTCTCCCACAAACCTTTATTATTTACGATTTGCTTCTATTCCTCTTCCTTTGAATGGTGTTTCGGGTTTTAGTTTTAACTTTTAACAAAGGGTTTTAGTGGTAGTTTCTTAATGAAACAGTGAGTATTTGGGTCTTAGTCGAGGTGGTAATTTATGGGTTGTGACGAATGATTTCTGATTTGTGCGTTTGAGGCAGTGATAGTTTCTTAATGAAACAGACAGTAATTGATTGAGATTTTCTTTTCTTTTTTTTTTTTTCTCGATCATTCCCTCTTTTATATATCAGTTTTGGCGGCAAGGTTGCATGGTTAAACCATTAGATTATCGATGATTACGATAAGATGGAGTCAAATGGGAAGATTGCGAGGCTCTAGGTCTTTGTTTGCATTGATAACAGGTACGTGGGTTTGAAAAATGATTCTTCTTTCTTCTTTTAGTTTTTCTTGTGCCAAATCTGGTAAAATGAATGTGGAGAATGGAATTCCACAGTGGTGGTTTGGGTGGCCATTAGACCCATGTGGCGACTATTTTTAGCTCCGACCATATAGCCTTGTTAAAAGCTTATGAACCCAAGGTTTCGGTGAACGTCACTTCCGGAACTAGGAATGATGACAATTCACTTACAAAAAGATTATTGGAACAACGAGTGTTTGCAATCCATGAAACTCAATTTCAAAAGTACTCCTTTCAGTTTTTGCATTCAGAAGCTTAGGAACCGAAGTCCTATATCCTACTGGAACAGAAAGCGTTTATAAATCACTTATGGAAATTGCCTATGAACCATATGTTCCAACACATTACGCAACTACAGTTAATAGTTTTGGTGATTCTACAACACCAATATTACAACGATCCACATGTCAGGTCAAAGTTTTGGCACTTCAATTCCGTTGGCAGAATCTTGCTTGCAAGTATTGAAGGCAAGCAATTCTATGCAATTTATGCCAAGAGGTTATGTGGAGTTTTAATTGATGGGCGTGGGGATGATGTTGGAAGATCTTACCAGTCAGTTGCAACGATGCAATTGCCTAACCAGTCACATATTCCTACTGTAATATCAGCACCAACTAGCTGTTATGTTAAACAAGGTTATAAAAATGGTGGGTGTGTTTCTATGGGAAATTTTAATCAAGAAAATGTTATGCCATGTACAGGAGATACTAATTTACCTTCAGTTTCCTGCAGCTATCAATTGGTCTATCCCATGGCACATTCTACCAATCTCTGTTCTGATAGGATTATTGAAAACCCAATCCTCTGCTTCAGGCCAGTGACTACTTCAGGAGATCTGTCAGGCAATATACTTCATGCAAAGCTTGAAGTTCCTTTTCAAGCTGTATGCAACCATTTACATGGCATATCTGGGAGCACCAATCACTCTGTAAATAGTAAAGCTGGTTATTATGTGTTAGACAAGAAGCATATTTCATGGCCCCAGCCCCACATAAGGATGTTGAGATGTCAGAATATTCCACTGATGTAGGTCATGTCAATAGTTTAAAACTTGGATGTAGCAGTGGATTTCCTTCATTTAAACTCAAAGTTCAAGTAGGTCCACAGTCAAGTGTTAAAGCATTAACCAGTGATTGTAATGGTTTCAAAACTTTATCCGGTGATATTGCAACTTCAGTGGATATTTCATTATGTAAACTTTCACTTTCTCCATTAAAAGAAGTAGAGCCCCCTTGCACTTTCATCTTCTCCTATTAGAGATGATGTTTCATAACCCCTGTCAAGACATGAGATGGAGCCTCAAATAAATCTTTTGAATCTCATGGATGAGGAAAAGTTAAGTTTAAGTCCATTTGCTGAAGAATCAAATGGAATTGCATTTAATTTTTTCATTAGTGGAAGAAATGTTTCCAAATCCTTGCCAAGAGACATGAAATGGGTGCTCACACAAGTTCATCCGATATCATTGGCATTGGAAAATTGAACTCAAGTCCACTCATTGAAAAGTTGGACAGAATTGCATCCGATTCTTCCTTCAAGGATTCAAAACAATCAGGAAATCACATTTCTCATAGAGAAAAGAACCAACAACAAAATGCAACCAACTTAAGCATAGTTCATAAGGTATTTGTTTGTTGACAAATAAATAAATGATATTAATAGTTTACTTCTCTTGGTTTCAATTGACCAATTAGCTTGTTTTGGCAAGCTGAGATTAAGGGATCAATTAAATGTTCTAATACCATTGGTGGAATGTATAGTGACCTGTCTATGTTTTATACTCATTTAGCTACCAAAGAGTTGCAAGTAGTCTATCATAGATAGTTTGCTTTTATACCAAAAAAAAGAGAGAGAGTTTTGTTTAGGAAGGTCTTCTTGTTATTGCGGTTGCATAATTGGACTTTTTTTATTCATACTATATGCAGATAGTTAAAGATCAATACAAGAAAAACGCTCTAACCTGGCGGTCTTTATGGCCGCCGCTGTAACTA